ACACACACACACACAGCACAGCGGAGGAAACAGCAGAGATAGTTGACGGTGGGAGGACATCCCTATAATATACACAACTGCAAGCCTTTACAACTGTAGCTGACTGCATCTGCATTAAACATGATACTGTATACAATAAAACACTTAAAGAACGGAACGTACTTGTGTCAGAATAAAATGAAGATAAAAGAACTCACATACCACATCACCTTAGACTCTTTGAAGTGCTGAGAACAGAGAGATCTGAAAAGGAAAACACCACAGGGTGTGGCTGTGAACAGAAATTCACTGCGATAACAAACACAGCATTCTTTATTCCGCTCCCCAGAAACACAAACCAGAATGAGGAAGGCACCCCGATGCAGCTGGGAGGACGTCCGGAGTCTGTCTGTGAAGAGGCTGCTGGCATGAGAGAGCCTGCAGAGTGTTTGGGGCTGCCTCAGTGCAATGCTGAGCCTGCAGGGAGACTGGAGGTGGAGGAAGAAGAGGAGGATAAAGAGGAAGGGTGCAGGGAGAATTCAGCTGAGAGGACAAGGCAGAGCTACAGTGACACTGTGACAGATGCACTTCTTCCCAAACAGCACTCATAAAGTCAGGAAGGTGAATTGACAAAAATGATTTCCTTTTTCTAGACAAAACAAACATATCTACCCTCTGGCGCTCTTCTCTGGATATTAATCAGCTTTTTCTCATCAATAGTTTGCTAGGTGTGTTAAGACACTCCCTTGGTTTTTATAATTAGTTGCCTCAAAGCAAACTGCCAAATGATTCTCTGATTCCTTACAGTGTCAAACAAAAGCCGCATTTCAACTCAAACTACCCAGAACTTTTAGGTCATAAACTATTATTGAAGGAACTAAAAGGTTCCTTCCACCACCCTTCCTGCAACGATTAGTAAAATGAATCCGCTGATGTATGAAAAAGCTGTTTTTACACGTCATTTTAAACTATGCAACAAAGATGATACTTGTCTTCGGTCCAGCTGTCATATGCTTTTCTTCTCTAACTCCACGGCGAAGCGCAGCAAACAAAAAAACAAACGAATTTGCGGCTGCAGATTTACAAAAAAAAGAAAGGTGGCTGAATAAATTGCTGCAAGTATTCGACCAATCAGAAATGTTCAGTGCTGCAATCCCCACCCCAAAGTTCCTGTACTTTCGGAAAGTACTACCCCTCCGAGCCAGGACTTTTTGGGGGGTAAAATATCATCCCTGGAAGTTAACGTAGTCCCTGGTCTCTGCAGTGGAAACACACTGAGTTTCTCCAAAGGTTCCTGGTCCCTGGGGAAAGTTCCTGCAGTGGAAACCCCGCTTAAAGAGGAAATTATGTGAGAGCAAAACTGCAGAGAATCTCTGAAAGTTGTTTCAAATTTCCCCGTATTTTATTAATTTCTACAGACACGACGGACTAAATCTGTGAGAGAACAATGCTGTATGTAATTTTCCTGCAACCATTGTTTCTTGCGACTTGTGCTTCTCGTGGGACTAATCTCTGTGCGTGTGTGTGTCCGTGAAGAGCAGCTGGTAACAGAAACAAGAGATACCACGACTTCTTTGATGTGGACTATCCTGTTTTAAGTCTGCCCCTGGCTCGCTCTGGGTAGATATGTTACTAATCACTGCGCGTCTGTGTTCCTCTTCCTGCTCTCTTTCCAGGATGACATGGATTTCTTTGGCTCGTGTTCCACCCTTGAACCACCCTGGACTCAACAACAGCCGCGGCCAGATCCCGTATCAGATTACTTAACCCCCCCCCCGCACCACACACACACACACACACACACACACACACACGCAAACCACCACCGCACACGCACCACACACACCACACACACACCCACAAAAACCACAAGCAGCAAAACCACTCTCCAAGTGTCGGTCACACCCGCCTCTTTTGAAATGTCTTTGGAAATGGACCTCAGAGCCCCTCGTTAAAGGGTCCAAACAGAATATGTACATGCATGCAAACAAAAGCACTGCTGAGGAAGAGCGGAAGCACCGAAGGGGCAAAGGCCATAGAGACACACACACACACCAGAATGGTGAACCTTGCTGGCCCGAAAGGTGACAATCGAATGAAGTTTCAACCATCGAGGCAGTTACTGACTTGATTACCACGGAGATCAAAAGTGAATCCAAAGGTGAGCTCTGCTTCTGCCTTGACAACGTCTTGCCATTCTCTTCTCATGTTTTAGGGGGAGGACATAAACTCGTACCACTGACGCTTAGCAGCTTGGCTGTTATGAAAGCTTTTGTGTGAAAAAAAGTAAAGTTGTAAAATTTGAGGTGTGAAGAAAAGTGTCAAAAGTGATTATGTTGCACATTGAAGACAATCTTGATAGTACGGAACAAGTTAAGACGAGGAATGTTTAAGTGAGTGTTATGTGTTGTAGATACTGTAAAATATTAAATAGGACAATATTTTTGTAACATAGACATGACTGACAATATGTTTGCTTTTCTTTCCCCAGTTATAGTGTTGATGGTTGTGAATGGTCACTTCCACATATTGTTTTTGTAAATAAACCACTTGAACAAGTTTACATACTGATTGACTGAATTACACATTTGTTGAATTCAGTGAATCAAGTGATTTAGTTTATTTAGCTCCACAGAGCCTCTAGTTGGTTTGAGCTCCAAAAACTCTGAACCCCTTACCACAATGCAACTGTAGAGTTCAACAATTAGTCAATCAACAGAAAATTAATTACCAACTATTTTGATAACCTAATCTCCTAATCTCTGTTTGGTTTTTGACTGTAGGTAGGTAATTTTCTACATTTTGTGGACGTCAAGCTGTGATATGACTTTTAATGTAGTATGTCATTTAAAGATGAATTATAATTAAATTAATCATCAATTTTAGCCCTATGACTGCACAACATGCCTCTTGAACCCCCATAATTTTCAAACAGAGGCGTTTCTCTTATTTAGTCCACAATCTGATTTTCCCTTTAAGGGTAATGAATCCTTTTACTAACTTTGTTTCTACATTCAACTGAAGTGCAGCCACAGAGTCTCTACAGATATAATTTGCCTCAGGTTCACCTGGAAATACATCAGAGGTTAAAAACATCTGAAATGACAATATAGTTACGTCGGAGACATTTCATATCCAGACAACCGTTACAACTGCTGTGTTGCAGCCTCTTGTGTGGCTAGAGCCACCCAGGTCGCTCAGTCTCTCTCTGATGGCGTGTTCACACCTTCAATAACCATGTGAAGCTGCTACTTGCTGCCTGCCTCGGGTCTCATATCTGAGCTAGGCAAGCAAGGACATTGTTACAGGGAGCAGCTGCTCGCATCTGTTGAAACATAGTCTGTCCAGCAGATTGTATATTCTGGAGCATCTGTGTTAATGTGAAAAACCAAACTACAATGGGCTCTGCTTTGGCACAGAGTGAAGAATAAAGTAATTCAATTTTAAAAATAATAAATACTAACTTTCCATAACAATACAACTGACTTATATTTCTACGCTATGCTATAACAGCTAAAACAATCCAGATGAGTAATGACCACAACTTTCCAACTTCTGTCTGAAAATTCATAACAGAAACTGCAGATTTCTTTTTTTTGACCTCCACCGCACCCAACTCTTCACCTCCTCCTCCTTCCCCCTCAAAACTGACAGACAAAACAGATGGAGCGGTATTAATTTAAAGTCTAAACAATGACCACATGACAGGAAGAGCAGATTAAGTATTCTTCCTCACGCTGATTTGATCAGGAAAAAACAATGTTCTGCTAGTATGTGAGCTGAAAATTGATATTTAACAGGGGTATTACTGGGTGTGGAACTAATGAGAATAAAAGCAAATTAAATGATGAAAACCACAGAAATATTAACTTAGTGAAATTTATGTGGCTATGTTACAGTGCATGAGTACAGTGCTGACATAATATGAACAAAACACATGTACAAACTAAAAACTGTATGTTATTAAACAGACAGTGTGTGGCCTGGAACAAGTTACTGTTGAATCTGTTGAAATACCATTAATTGTGACAAAAGGGAGTCCGTAGTATTAGTAAAGTGTGAATGGTACACAAATGACCATAAACTGAGTTTTCAGGTTTTAGTAGCATATCTTTAATTCTTACTATATTACCTTATATTAACAGCAGAATTAGCCAAATATATCAAATAAGTCAATGTGACTTTAAGAGAAAACAGCAATATATAAAATGCTAACAGTTCATTTACAGGCAGAGTAAAGATGCCTCGTAAGAATGAGTGTGCACCCTTTCTGTCTTCCACCTCTTGGCTCAGCATTAGTGCTCTGTTTGCCTCGTAAGGGTTCGAGTCCGTTTCCACGCCGCCTGAGGCATCTTTCAGCTTTCAGAGTCCATGATAAAGGTCTCAAAGTTCGGGTTGAGCTCAGACACCAGTGCATCCACGAAGTCCTCAATGGTGGGCCGTCTCTGCAGCATCCCTGTCACACAAAAACACAGAGCGGAAGGTTTTAGGGTGTGTGTGTGTGTGTGTGTGTGTGTGTCCAATGCACATCTGTCTCTGCGTGGGGAAAAAAAGTGTTGGCGGGACACTGGGATGAACTGGTTTTCTATTTTCCATCACTCCGTATTACCTCATTCTGAGAGCAGGGCAGCTTTTTTGGAGCGCTGAAGATGAAGTCACTGCAGTGGTTTTTACAAAACAGAGCACTCTGAGATAAATTTAAAAAAAAAAATCCTTTAAAGAAAGTGCTATTTCTATCCCAAATTAAGCCAAAATCCAATTAAGCTCAGGGATACAGGCTGCTGCTCCTGAGACTGTTGCCCTAATTCCAGTTCCTGAAGTGTTATTATCACTAGAATTATGTAATTTAAGGATCGGTTTATTTTTAACATTTGGATTTTATAATGTTATTTGTATAGTCGATGCAATGTGGCGTTCTAATTACTGTATTTTAAAGGGAACGAATAAGAAAATGTTCCACATTTCACTTTTTGGACCATAAAACTTAATTTCTCACATCCAATCCTTTTTTTTTTTTCTTAACTGCACACTCACACATTCTCCATATACAGATTATCAGAAGTGTAAACAGACAGAGAAACTTAGAAAACTCAGTTAAAGGGCTACAGATGTTGATATGATCCAACTTACTGCATGTAGTAAAAAGTTCTCAGAATCTTCTATTTCTGCCTTTAACAAAAGGTATACTGTACGTAATAGGGGCTGATACTGAGCTCACACACTCACACACACTCTTGTTACATCGGACTGTGACTAGTGCTGGAGAACAAATATGACTGCGCAGCCGGCGAGCAAGCCCTGGGAATGTCTGTCTGTGTTTTGAGAGCCTGTCTGCCAGCTCATGCGTGGAGGACTCCCTTGCTCGCTTTACAATTCAGCTGCACGCTCGCTTTGAAGTCAGTTCATTTCCCCTTGTGTAGCTGCCAATGTAAATAGGCGCTCTCCCCCTCCCCCTCTTTCCTGCATGGGTCACCTCCAATGCACACACACTCATACACACACACACACACACACACACAAACATAAGCATGTCTGCACAGGCACGCATGAATGGACACGCAAAGAGTTTCACACAGCGATCCTGAATGCATGGACACACAGTGAGATACGGACAGTCAAACACACACACACACACAAGACCACACACAGCCCACACACACAGAACACACCACACACAACAGACACACACCACACAGACACAGCACAGACACACACAGACACACACTGGAGAGTCTGTTGCTGCCATCCTCAAACTGGCTCAGCAGGTACAAACTGAGTGCACATTTGGCCTGGCCTGCCTTGCATGAGAGCACCAGAGAAGGGATTATCATCTCCTCTTACCCACCGGTCGCACCCTGCCCCTCGGCAATAAGATGATACCAACATACAGGGGGTCCCTAACGCAGCACAACCGCAAGGCCCCTGGATCCCTGGGAAGACGGCAGCCACATGAAAGCGAGAATTTCCAAACATGAATGATAACCCTAATTAAAGGGCTTCAGGATGTTGTGGCTCTGACCACCGTTGACATCTATGGCAGTTGATGGCCCCTTTAAAGTTGAGACCATAATGCCATGAACAGCTCGGGCCGCATTAATAAGCGTTGTTAGAGAAGATATTGAGGCCAGTTTATCAAGTTGCACTTAAAATCCATCTCCAGAGAGCTGGCACTGCGAGGAAATACAATTTGTGGAGCTGTAATAGAAAAGTGCTAACCTATTGGAATTTCAACCCTGAATTTCAACGTGTCGGAGTGAAAGAAGACATGTTCAACTCAATATTCCGGCACAAAACGTCTCAATGCATTCATTTTTATTTCATTCATATCCATTTAATGATTGAACACAAGCTTCTACAGCCATGCCAGCGGCTCTGAGAAGCTCATACTCACAAAGATGCTCACAATGACAAAGCTAACATACTAGGGTGTTTTTTATTCTAATACCTAGCTAATAGACCATAAGAAACTTTGGGGTAAAATGTCACTTAAATGCTAGTATAAGATGTAATTATGCATTAATTAGAGTGTACCAGGATTTTGTGTCCATTTCACTCAACATGACACCAAGACTATCTTGTAAACTAGAGGTCAGACGTCAGTCAAAACAGGATCCTGAAGTCACCCCCTCAGTCTCCGCACAAGAAACAAGCACACAGGCATACACATGTTCTGACATGACACTTGTTTACTTGGTTGATTTTTACAGTGTGCGAGCAGATAGCTGTGGGCTCAGCCACCACTCTGAACTCTCCGTACACTGTCTGCAGCATCACCAGCACTTTCTCTAATAGATGTAATTTCCTGACTGTGTATCCACAAGGGGATCTGATGTCTGGAGCCTCACCTGCCACAGGTTAGTGTGTTAAACAAGCAAAGTTAACATGACAAGAGTGATGAGCGAGGAGGAGGAGGAGGGGGAGAGAAAGGGAGAGATGGAAAGGGAGGTGTGATCGTGAAAGAGGTTAGTCAGGTAAACAATAGCGCCCTCGTCGGCTTCTCATCACCGACAGCTTGGGGTGTCAGCACCTGGGTCTCACACGGCGACCAACAGTAGATGAAGGGGAGGTACGACAATAAACAGTGAGGAGTGAATCTTTTCTCAACCCAGATCCCAGGGAGGGTTTGAGAGGAATGCACAGATAACCTCAAAGTCATAACAACACTGCGGAGGAGTTTCTGATCCGAGAAGCTGCTTTTATAGATACACACAAGGAGGTGGAGCAGAGTCAGACAAAAGAGACCAGCCGGGTACAAACAGCACACTGAAAAAAAAAAGCACCAAAGCTAAAATGGTTGCCTTTGAATTGCACATTGCACAACACAGGTAAACGGTGGAGCTGTGCACAGACGGTGCTACAGTATGAATCACCACAATAGGTGGAAACCCCACAAACGACCATAAAAGAGAGTTGATTTATTATGGACTGCAAAACAAGCTTTTTTCATTTGCATTCAAAGGGTTGGCTCACCCAAATACTTACTTACCCCCAGCAGAATGAATTCATTGGAATTAGTTTTATCTGCTCAGGTTTAGAAATTTCTGCCTCCACCCCAACACAATGGAGGTGATAAGAAGTGTATTTGTGGATCTCGGAGCTTTGAAAACATACATAAAATAATTTAACAGCAACATGTTTTTCCCCCACGCACTGGATAATCCACTGACTTCGCTGGAACCACCACAAAAGTAGTTCCAGTCACTTTACAACGACAGTACCTCCGCAGCACAGATACAGTACGAGTCTCTCTGCACACTTGCCAGCATTACAGTGGGCAGAACTATACACTCATTCTTGGTGACGCACTGAGGAAAACCAGAGCCAAACTAAACATAGGCTGTGCTTTGTGTCCATTGTTTGGAAAGCCTTAGGACAGAGGCTTTGCCATGTGAGTCATCTCGTATTTAAGAGTTTCCATTTCCATTCATAATGGCACTGACACAGCCATTGAGGAACAAGGCTTCTACCTATTACACTCATCGCAGCGCCTGGAGCGTCAGCCAACTTCGCCAACATCGATTTGGGTAAAACGTTAGGTGTTAAAAGACACGTAATGAAGTAACAAACAAAGTAGTTAAAATAAAACAGTGGATCTTTCTTAACAACTGCGTTGTCAGACAAATTGCTGATCAAGAATGCACTTTTTAAGCCAAATCCTGAACAGCCCCACTGGAGCTATTGGCAGTTGAGTACCTTTGCTCAAGGGTACTTCAGGAGTACTTGTTGGGGAAGGAAAGTGCACTACTCATTCTCTATCCCTGCCCAATTTTTTCAAGCTGGTGTGGGAACGTTCAAATTACAGACCTCTTTCTTTAGCTCGACGTCCACTTCCTCCTCTAGTCTGAAATAGTTATTTACTCAATACGGATCAGAGGGATTCTTTGCATTGAGAAATGGAAACTTTTTATATTGACCGTGTACTTAAACCTAGCCCTTGGCTTTTCCACTAAAGCCACCTGCTCTAATCACAAAATGACTATACATGTAAATCCTCTTTCTACAATTGTACTTACACTCAGAGTTAAAATAAAATCTTTTAAGTAAACAGAGCTTTATCTCACAGGAGAACATACACAGCTTGCAGAGAATCATTTATTTAGTTAAAGGGTGGTGGGCGATGGGTATCAGTCAAATGAAGACCTACGTTGCTGGCTCTGACTCTGAGCCTTGCTAATGACAGCTCTAGGGACAAGAATTCAGCAGAAACATTTTAAAATTGCTGCAGAGCCTGCAGCTACTGCTGAATTTATCAAACATCTGAGTCACCGCCTAGAAAGGCTTTTTCTATCACAGATAAAGAAATTGGGATTAAATTGTCTGATTACCTACATTCTTCTAAGAACAGATAAATAAAATAGTAGTCCCATTTTTTGGGG